CGCCAGGTTCTTCTGACATTGACTGGACATACTGGTGGAATTTCAAGTTTACGCTGGGGCGGAACCGGTTTGATTTATTCTGGCTCTCAGGACAAAACAGTGAAAGTTTGGAGAGCGTCGGATGTGAGTTTTTCTTCGGACTTTTATTTTATAGAAATTCCATGTGTATGGGTTTTTGTTTTCGTGTCCGTAATTCTTTGCAGGGGGTGATGTGTCGGACATTAGAAGGACACGCACATTGGGTGAACACGTTGGCACTGAACACCGATTATGTATTACGCACTGGCCCGTTCGATCCTGCAAAAGCAGAATTGGTTTATCGAGAACTGAAGGGATCAGGTGAATAAGTTTATCCCTTGTGGATCCTGTTTTCTGACAATTCTATTTTTTGTATTGTTGAAAGCCGCTCTTTGCTTGAATTTGTACATTATTTTCATTCTTTCTTCGTCGATTTTCTGAATGAGCCTTATCAATTTGATGTTTTTCATACGGAGCTTTAGGTTTATGATTTTAGCGTCTTGCGATACAGTAATTTGCTTGTATTTAATTTTACTTGAGGGAGGCTTTCATGATACCTGACGTCTGGTTCAAAAGCTCAGTCAGTACTTCACCTTGTCATGAAGTTCTCAATTAGAACACCTCAAGCCGCCTTCTGATCGATAACCAGACTCAAAAATAAGTACTTTATTCGTGCATTTGCGTAGGATATTTTCGTGCGACAGGACTGACGTTGGGTAACTTCATGCTCACCGTTTGTAATTCTACGTGAACCCTCTGATTCAGTATCTCAAGCACAAGAATTGAACGATAATTGTTTTTCCGGTTGAACTCGGGAATTAGACGATTCAGTAATTTTAAATCTTTCTTAAGCTGATTTCTATCTATTTCAAATGCTGGACATAAGAAGAGAAGGTGCTCTGGTGATGCACAAATGAATACTGTCAGGAAAAAGTTAATTGCCTTGAAAAACTCAAAGAATTTGAGCAAGTAATTTACTCATTTCCAAAAGGTGCCAGTAAAAATTAGCACTAATCTCTTGACGCATTTCTTGTGAGCCTGAGAACCAAACCCAGGTTTGGTTCCCAGGCTCACCCAAGGACAATTTCCTCATCTCTAAAAAGGAAGAATGAAAGTGGTCAAGTCCAGCCTTCAGTCTCTAATCCAGAAATAAAGTTGTATTGGTCAATCAAAAACCATAAGTTTTTCACTCTGTGTTGCGCTGCTGACCTGATCAGATCTCAGGAGAACTTGTTCATGTGTGAAATCACCAATTCTGAAATTGGTCTCTGAATCCTTACTTCTTGCAAAAAGCACTCTTGATTTCTTGCCTTTGCTTGCCATATTTTGCGCTAATATATCATCTTAAACTACAACAAAAGTCCTGGCTGCAGCCCGGCTGATTGAATCGTGTTTTTATTTCTTCCAGTTGGAAATCTTGTTTAAAGGCTTTTTGAGTTGGGTTGGGTGAGGAGGGGTTTGGATGCGGGAGTTTTGGTTGTGCCTTGTGAACGCTGAAAAGCGGCAAATAAAGTTTTCTGTTCATTCATTCATTCAAGGCTTTTTTAGCCCTTCTGAAACAACTCATTGAGAATAATAAGCTGTTAGCTTATAATTGAAATCTAGCTCTTTGACTTCAGACTCTTTCACCTTTTGTGTGGTTAAGAAATATCTTTGCGTTTTTTTCCTCACAAATACATTAAATTGTAGCCACAAAAAAAAAAGAGGAGAACATAAGGAGCTGTACAGGTGAGCTTGCTCTAGTGACACTGATTTTTGCTCTACAACGATTTTATCTGTATAACGATTTTTTGTGGTCCCACTACTACGGGGTTCTCTCATTTCCATGTCTGATAGGGGGTTTCTATGCAACGAATTTCAAAGGGACCAGAAAAAAAAATGGACGAGGAGATAATTTCGTTTTAATCTCTCAGCAACAACTTTTCTGGGTCCTTGAATCCCGTTACATTTCACAAATTACGAATAAAATCAAGGGACTGAAATTATTACTGATATATAAGCTGAAGATAAGTTTTACGCGCCTTACAGAATTTTTTGAGCGTTTTCCACCGACCATTGCAGGCATAAATTTATCTTTTTCAAAAGAATGGATCTTTTTCATCCAATTCTGCGCTGAACAAAACCAGTTCTTGCTTTTCGCCATCTTAGAATACATTTTACAGGTGGATTCTGTCTACGATTCATTTCTCTTTACAACAATATCCTCGAATTCCGTTATAACTTGTAAGTCAAGGGAGCAGAAAAAAATAAGTTCTAAAGCTAAATTCTTTGTTGAGAAAACCCACCAGTATTACAATTCATTCAAAAATGGTGAAAAGAAAGAAAAACTGCTTCTTTTGCAACATTGAATAAAATATATAAATTTCAACGCGCTCTTTATTTGGTGATGGACAAAACAAACATGTTGCTTCGTGTCAGATTTTAATTTTCTGATCTTAGTGATTTACGAATTTTCTGCTAAACTCTGATGAGAATCTCCATCAGAAAAAGTTGGATTTATTCCCCCAATTTCGCGCATATCAGTGACAATTATGCAACCGTAATCTGAGGTCACAGCAGGATAATATTTTTCATATCCCCCACGACTTTGCAGGAAATAAATTAGAAGAATTTAAAAGTGTAAATTAAAGCATAATGGAGATAGATACGTAAGCTAGACACGCGGAACTGGAACAATGCTTGCAAAATCTATTCAAACGCGCTTCTTTATGGAATGCGAACCAATTAATGCAAAATGCAAAGCAAACATTGCAAAGATAATCAAACGAATTCTCGCTTCGATTTAATCCCAGGACAAGCTTTGAATTTTATCGCATAATTTAATCAAGGAAGAGCATTCCCAAATTTTCTACAACTTTGCCTCTGAAACATGAGTTTTAGACAAGTGCCTGCAGTTTGTATAACACAACTGATGATTTTCGAGGAACAGCTTACCTGAGGAGGCGAGGAAAACCGGGTTCTCCAAGAAAAGAAAAGAAAGTTGATTCTGTCGTAAATCATTTTCACAAACTTGCCGGGAAAAATGTATTCCAACAGCGCATGGACTCGATGGGTGACGAAATGGGCAGAGGCATCGAGAACGAGGGCGTGGAGGCAGACGAGGGCGGGTTGCTCATGGCGGTCCCGTCCCGAGCATCCAATACCCAGGACCCCATGCAGCAACAACAACGAATGCCTCCACCCCGTGGACGAATGAACAGAGCCCAAAGTGAACAGGCTTTATCCGCAGCAGAAAAGCAGCAGCAGCAACAGCAACAACAGCAGCAGCAACAACAACAGGGTGCCACCCCAGCCGGAGGCAGTCGCCGAGGATTGTCTCCTCTGCGGTTTGTTTTGAATTTCGATTTCATTTTCTTTCAAAATTTCCGACTGCGAATGAGGAATGAATGATTAGCAATATGGAGATAAAAGTATATTTTTTTGTGGTAGGAGAATGCAAGGGTGGCTTTACTGCAGCATGCATGGGATTAAATATTTCTACCATTCATATAAATTTTTAAAATTCTGCAATATTTCAAATGATGATCTTGGAATTTGATCTGGTTGTACCGTAATATTCCTTATAGTACTGTGCAACGAGAAGTGAAAACTATGATGTTATGGTCAGATTTGTTTCACTAATTTTGAAGCTTGCTGAAAATGTGCCAAGATATTATGTAATTTGAATATCATGATTAAACCTAGGATGAAGGAGTGACTGAAATGCATCCAAGTTGTGAGGGCCCAAGTCTGGAAAAATCTGGGAGGGGTGATTTTTTTTGTATTCCAAAATCTGTAAATGCTAATCCTCCGCAAGGATTTCCTTAGAAAAGCCACCCGATGAGGAATTCATTTTTTATTTTTGAAAGTTGTTCTGCAGGATATGATAAAAAATATATCAGAATTTTTCCCGACTTATGCCTTGCATGGTGCAAAAATAAAAATTTTCAATTGTCAGTGGTCATGGGCACACAATTTTGCAAAAATATCTCAATTTCGCCAAACAAAAGTTAATTGATAATATAAATAAGTAAAAAGCAATTGCTAAGCAGCAAGGGATCTAAAAACAATATTTGTTGGTGTTGCAATGGCAATAAAATGTCAATGTCCAAAGTTTCTCAAGTTCTCTTCAAATCATTTTCCAGGGCCAATCTTCTATATACATAGACAATTCTGTTTTCATTAGCTTTGAAAAATTTGAAAAATCCACAACATAAGAGAGAAAGGGGATGTCGTATTTTAAACAAGGGAAGTTCAAATTTTCTCTACACTTTTTCAACAGTGTGAAATGCATGATAAACTTAGGCAATATGTAAGAACGTTTTCACTGCTCATCGTACATGATGCTGAAAAAATATGTTCGAAGTCCGAAAAAATTATAAAATGCCTAAAATATCACGCGAAAAATTGAAGTGTTTTTCAAATTTTTACCAGCGTTAGAAAAAAAATATTTCCGCCCAAAAATGTGACAGCTGACATATGCGTCGTTTCATTCACGTAGTTCAGTATATATTCGAATTGGCAGGCATTTGAAATGTCGATTATTGATTTGGAAATTGTAGGTTTTTCAAGCGAATACGAGACCAAAGCCGAGACCGGAAGCGACGAGCCCAAACCCCGGACGCGTCTCAACAGAGACAACAAGACATGCTCGGCCTGGACGGAACCCTGCAAAACCCCCAGCAACCCCATCAGCAACAAGAAATGCGCTTCACTCCCATGGCCCTGGCCAGCAAGGTACGAGCCAAGGGCAAGGCCATGATGGCCCAACACCCGGGGTTCCACATTTCGGGCCACGGGGGCCACCTGAACCCACCTGCGATCCCACCGAGGAAATATTCCAACACTGCTGCTGCCGCTGGTCAAACGGACACGAGCCGTCGACAACAAGGACCTGAAGACCTTTTCGACAAGTACTGTTTGGACAGGATGGATGAGTACTTCATCGGGTTCCGCATATTTCCGGGACAAGACCCGAACCTGGTTTATGTCGGCTGGGTGTCCACGTTGTATCACGTGTCTGCCGGGGCTTTCAATCCCCAGCACATGCGTAAAAGTCAGGTGTGATGAACAATAATTCACCACTAAAAATGTTTCTGCAAAAAAATGACAAAATTGAAAAATATGCATATTTTAGCACTTTTTTAATTTGAAAAAGGGTCTTCAATTTTTGAAAGATTTTATTTTGATAGACAGCTAACGTTTGCAGAAAACTCTACCTTGATGTTTCTTTCAATTTTGATTCTAGCAATCCTCCTAACTCATGCTTGTATTCAATGTTGCTGTAAAAAGTTACCTTTATGCAATGAAAGGTGGTTCAACTACAGCTGGGAATCGTGTGGCAACTTTGGGAATTTTGAATATACTTATGGAGAATACCTCAAAATATTTTTCCATAGATATAATAGCAATACAGTTGAACTGTATTGCTAAGTTAAACCTCCCCAAGTTAAATTTTTTTTTAGTCCCAGGCTGAATTCCCTTAGGAACAATGCATTAAAAACCTAAAAACTCAAAGGAACTTCCTCTAAACACCTCCGTAAGTCAACTAGTTTTAGGTCTTTTGGCATTCATTTTATTGAAACAAGAAAGAAACAAACAATAAAAATGGAATTTGATGTGCTTTGAATAATGGATGTGACACACTAAATGGGAAAAATAAACCCCTGTCTCCAAGTTCAGCACCCTGTCAACTCATTTTAGAAGCAATTTCAGGCACCAGAATATCATCATGTACAATTTATTGCAATTCTTCAACGTATACCACAATAAAAATGCTTGATCCCATAAGTCAAACATCTATCTAAATCAAAACCTCATCCCTAATGAGTCAAAACCTCCCCAAGTCAAAGTGCTTTTCTATAGTCCCTTGAAATTTTACTTAGAGAGGTCCAACTGTACCCTGTTTAATCAAGTACCATATGCACATTTTTCTAAAAATTGAGAAGAAAATTGGGGTGTAAGCCAATCCTGGGTATGCTGGATGCAAATTTCAAAGCATGTCGAAAGTTTTTGAGCGCATCACACTTGAATGATTGAAATTGTTCATGGAAAATTTTTATACATTGAAAACATTGAAAATTGAATACATTGGTTACATTCAGGTAAAATTCTGTTGTCTCATACTTTTTAAACACTTTAGCTTTTCTGTGAAAAGAAATGGGGTGCGCCTCTTACTATAGGAGATATGATTTTATCAAAATTTCAATATTAAAAATTGGGGCATGTGTGTTAATTATTCAAAGGTGCAGGGTATATACTTCAGTGAATACAATCTACCGTATTTACTTGAGTACCACGCGCCCTCAAGTAAGGCATGCACAGGGGTTTTTCAGTTGGAAATTTCGCTAAAATCTTATCCTCAAGTAAGACACGCACCCCAATTTTTAGTGAATCTAGAACCAATAAAGTTCAAAAATAAAAACAAAAAATTGAATTTAGACATGAATTGAACAGGAATCTGATCCATTTTGAACTGTTTCAGTACAAAATAGTTTTCTTATTACATTTGTTCAAATTTGCTCCATTATAATTAAGTATAAAGCACACATAACTTCCTAAAACTTCTTGAAAAATGTGTACCCACTTATGACGCGCACCCCTTTTTTTCTTCTGAAATTTGAGAAAACAGGTGCGCGTGGTATACTCAAATAAATATGGTATTGCATATTTTTCATAAAACCCATCTATTTTAAAAGCTTATAAAAATTATTTTCCAAATTCCTGTCAAGGTGGTGGACGACGATTTGCGGTCACACGAACGTCGCAACTGCTGGCTCGTCAAGGCGGCCGACCTATACAACGAAGTCACGCGGGGATCCGACGACCAGCAACAACAACAGTCACAGTCCGGCAAAAGTGCGTCTCAGGGCATGTTTATTGGCTGCACATTGGACACAGCTACAGGACAGGCCAGCTTCAGCTGCGATGGCAAACTCAGTTCTACACGATTTCAAATGTTGCCGGGGGCAGCCCTGTTCCCGGCCATCTTTGTGGAGGCCAGCAGCCGAGAGATGCTTCAGGTCAGTCTTCATTCATTCAAAAATAAGGCCACGTTTTTGAAAACATTATTTGTAAACTTTTATCACAGACCAAACTCAGTCGGTTACTTTGCATTTCTTAGAACTTGTACAGTGCAAAAATCATCAGCTCATCATAGCTGCAGCATGTAGAGGTGGACTATACAACAATCTTGTCTACAACAACTTCATCTGCACATAACACATAAAGTGTATACAGTACTTACAAGGTTCTCTCCCCATATTGTAGGGGTTCTGTATGACAAATTTCTCTTCACAAATTCTTTTTCTTGGATTTTGTTTGTAAATAGAGTGCACCTTGATGGAAAACAAGGTTTTTATGCATCATTTGAAAATATTTTGCTTCTAATCTGAATGTTGAACCAAACTTCCAAAGCCTGTTTTTCGCACAGAATATTCCTGTGTGATAAATTAAAATAACTTTGTGGTCTCTTTAATATTTTGCCCGAGAAATTTTTGGATCTCATAATCTTGCCCTCACCTTTCTAACATTTTTATTCACGAGTCTCCAAAAAAAAAGATGATTGGAATTGAGTCCTTTTGATATCACCATTTTATTTTTAATTTCCGGTATTGCGCGATCACAATTAAGAACCTATGATGATGGTGACCTATGATTTCAGGTCGAGCTGGGTCGCACGCCCACGACGCTGCCCTTCAGTGCCGCCATCCTGCGCAACTCTGAAAAGTCCATCCAACCCCAAATGCCGCCTCGTCTCAAAGTGCAGGTCCTGCGCCAATTCCAGTGGGCCCGGGTACCCAATTCGGGTCTCCGGGTCCATGCCCTCAAGCTCTCCGAAGTCCGGGGTTGGAGCATGCTTTGCGAAGACGCCGTGCCGATGCTCGCATTGCACGTCCCGGAAGAAGACAGGTGCATGGACGTGCTGGAACTCATAGAACACGAGAAGCTGCTCAATTTCCACGCCCAGACCCTGGTGCTCTATTGCGCTCTTTGCTATCAGAGTAATTACAGAGCCGCACACACGCTGTGCTCCCACGTGGACCAGCGTCAGTTGTTGTATGCGATCCGGGCGGATTATTTGTCTGGCCCGTTGCGACTGGGGTTCTACGATTTGTTGGTGGCGCTGCATTTGGAGTCGAATGCTGAGACACGGGCTCAAACTGCGACTGAGTTCCTGGTGCCAGTGTCTGATGACCTGAGAGCACTATACTCGGGTATATACATTCCTTTTCTTATTTTCAAATTTTACCCTCATGCAGCAAAGTCAGGATATTTTTTTGTCAGATTTTACAGTCAACCCTTGCTTGGAAAATAAGCCTACAGCGCAACAGTTTTTTTTTTTTTTTGCAGAACAGACTGTCTCTGGAGGTAGTTTTTCCTCTTGTATGAATGAATGAACAGGAAACTTTATTTGCTGATTTTCAGCATTCACAAGGCACAACCAAGACTCCTGCATCCAAACCCCCTCCAAACCCAACCCAACTCCCCCCAAAGACATTCAATCACTTCATATCATGTATGTTGGACATAAGAAGAGAAGGTGCTCTGGTGATGCACAAACTAATGTATTTATGCTGTGGGTGTTACACCACTTAGAAACCTTTGAGAGTTGGATGAATTTTTACTAAAGTGCCATGAATTGTCTTGTATAACAGACAAATTCTGGATAACAGACTTCAGTCTTTAGAGGTGCTTGATGCCAGTGGACATGAGTCCCTCATTTCTTCCTTTGCATCCCAACTGAATTTGCATAGCAGACTTTTCACACAACAGACTAGTCTGCTGCACAAATTAAGTCTATTTGTCAAGGTTGACTGTATTCCCATGAGCACTGTAAATTCATAAAAAGCATATTTTTCCACCAAGGCCTAAAGTTGGAAAAAATCAATAATTTATAACAATCCTGAAGAAGATTTTGCTTCAAATGTGACAAAAATCCCTCCCTGATGGTGGCAGTTGTTCCTGCATTTCTAGCACAGGATTAACATTTCAGATTTTTCAAAACACATGGATTCACCCTTCCTGGATTTCCCCGACCTAGTCTTCTCAACCCAGGCACATTTCAGTGACCTTGGAAAAAATTAAAGTGCACCTGTGGTCAGAAAATCCAAAATTTTTTGTTCCCATCTGAGTTGAATGTCATGAATGTCATAAAATTGATGTCTTTTATTGCTTGGATCTTGGAATATTTAATTTAAAATGCTTTTTAGCTTAAGCAAGTGGATTGATAAGCACACTGAATAGCATTGTTTGTGATTCATTGGAAGGAGCATCCAAGCAACCCTCGAGGTTTTCTGACTCCTTTTTAGACATTTCAATATATTTTTTGAATGAAAAGGATTTTGCATCTGATTTTCGTCATTACTTCCATTATCACTTCTAAAAAAGTTATCTTCCACCTCAAATATTTTTTCACGATTACGTGATGAAAACCTCGTGAGGCATGTTATGATAGGAGCTACATTTCCTGAGTACATACATTTTCACGAAATTTTTTTTTTTTTTGCAAATGTGATTTCCACACAGGTGATACTGCGAACCAGATGCGCCATTCCCTGCACTCAGTTGCCACGGGTTCAGTGAGACCCCGAGTGTCCACTTGTCCCATCACAGATGCCAGCACAGACATCAGGGACTTGCGTAGTCCTCACGTGGACTTGGATGAGTTGAAGCGGTTTGCAATCGACGCCCTGGAGGACGCCGTGGCGTCCAACCAGGTCCACGTGAGGGATCCGATCGGAGGATCCAATGCGAACCTATTCGTGCCGCTTCTCAAGCTGTGCGACAAACTGCTTTTAATCGGGCAGATGGACGATGATGATGTCATGAGGCTTCTGGTCATGATTGACCCGGGCACTTGGGGCGGTGAAACTGAGGCTGGCTTCTCTGCATTTACTTCGGGTACACTTGGCTGATTTTTCCGCGTGCATAAATTAAATAAAAATCTGCATGGGAAGATTATCTATTGAAATCTTCCGGATTGAGATTTTAAAAGCAGGACGGACCAAAAATTCGACCTATTTTAAAATGAGGAAGTTCTACTTGGATGGTTTCTGCTTTTTTGCACAAATTAAATTAAAAGCAATGACTCAGTTATAGTGGAATGACTTCAAGCATTCAATGCTACTTTTGATAAATTCATCATGCCAAAGGAAATTTCCCATGGACCAAGAAAAAAACCTCTGCAGAATGGTGCCAGTTTTCGTACCACGGGTTGGGGAACACTGGTCTATAGGCTGTTACAGTGAGACCTCATGTGGACACCTTGACCTGCAGACAATTTGACATACGAACACTTATTTTCCCATACAAAATTAATGAAGAAGGCCTGACATGAGGACACTGACTCAACATAGAGACATTTTGTGATAAAATTGCGAATACGTTTCAGGTCAAATTGCAAGAAACATACATTTCCAACCCTAAAATTGATGTAAGAAAAGCTCTTGGGCATTTCTCTAACCAATTTACCATTCATTTAGCTAATTAAAAAAAAAATACCTCCAGCATAGAGGGACTTCCTTCTCTCTTTTTTGCTTGAATCTTTTTTTTTACAAAGAATGCCAACATTTCTATGTAATGTACAGAGGTATCCATATTTAATTCCCCAAATGTCTGTATTGTGCTGAAATATATTGATTAAATCAATTTAAATTGGGAGACAATTTTTATTTTCATGGAATTATGGTAAGTATTTTGTACATGAAACACCAATTAAAAATCCAATAATGTAAGTCTATGGGAAAAGGAGACTTGACTTTGGGGCATTTCGACTTAGGGACACTCTTGATGCACCAATTACGCATCTGCATCTTGGGGTCTCACTGTATTTTGCCAATTGCACTCAACTCCATGCAGGGTTTGCCTCTGACTGATTATCAACTCCCACAATATCTCTGCAATAGATACACTGCATTGATTGCCTATAGTTTCTCATGTTATTGACCTTATTCTTTCTTGAATTCCCACCCAAACAGAAGACAACGAGACTCATGCACGCGTGGGACTCCTGCAAATGCGCGTGGCGGAAGGCGTGAAGCTGCAGCTCTGCTACATCCTGCAACACCTACACGACCTACAACTGCGGCATCGCGTAGAGTCCCTAGTCTGCTTCGCCGAGGAATACGTCCAGCAAATCCAGTCCGAACAAATCCGTCGCTACGTGGAAATCAAACAATCCGACTTGCCTTCAGCCGTGGCTGCGAAAAAGACGCGAGAATTCCGCTGTCCGCCCCGAGAGCAAATGAACATCAACCTGGCCTTCAAGAACGTCACGGAAGACGCGGATTCTTGTCCAGCTGGCCCGGAACTCGTGGACCAACTCATGGCCTTCCACGACGAATACATCGCAGTGATAGCTGTCCCAGCGCCGCCCGAGCTGGAAGATGACGCCACTGGCGCCGCCGGCGCCACTGCCGGCGGCGGCGACCATTCTGCGGAAGCTGCAGCAGCGGAACTGGCCAAGCAAAAGCCCGGCATGTTTGCCAAAATCAAGCACTTTTTCAGCTTGGCTGCTGGGAATGATGAGGCAGGCGCCTTTTTCACTGGCGGCGAGCCGGAAGAAGAGGACGCCGGACCGTTGCTTGAGGAGAGATTTAAACAAGTACTCATACCGACTGTTGTTGGGTGGGCCAAACAGGACCATATTGAAGATGCTGACCTGGTGCGAGAGATGTTCAGCTTGCTCTTGAGACAGTATAACGGGGTTGGAGAGGTATGTGATTGATTGATTGACTGATTAATAAGCTTCATTTACTGCTTGTCAGCATTCACAAAAAATATCACTAAATTTATTTAACCCTTGGGTTGTGGTGCTGCTGGGATATATTTTCACAATTTTGTACCACAAGCAAAAGGAAATACCCAGCATGATCAGAGGAGCCAAAGTTTGTGAACATCCCAATTTTAATTTTTTTTTACATTCCTGCAGAACTTTTACTGCTGAGTGGAATTTTTCTGCCATCCTGTCACACAATTATTAGCATTGAGGGATGTTGATAACAATTTTCTCCCTTTCCTGGATTTCTCTGGACTTCAGCTATTCAGCCAAAGTTGCATTTCAGTGACCTTTGGTCAAACAAAAATACACAATGCTGCAAATATTTTCTGGCACTGCTGTGCAATGGAAATTGACATTCTGCTGTCCAAGGGCTCAGATTTGGGAGGGTAAATTCACTTGAGTACCACATGCAAATCTTTTCTCAAAACTGAAAGGAGAAAAAGAGGTGCAATTCATTGGGGGATATATGTACATTAGAAGGAAAGTTTCAGAAGTTCAAATGCGCATAATGTTTGGTTCTAATGGGAAATGTTTGACAAAGTTTAGCAGAAAAGACACATTGGAATGAAAACAATTGAAAATTAGTTGAATTTGAGTCCAATTCTCGCATAAATTCAAATTTGAATGTTCTCATTTTTAAATATTGCAGTTGTTGAGTCACTGAAAATTTGTTTATGTGTTTTTCTTGGGGATATGTGCTATTTTTTATTTTTATTTTTTACTTGAAAAATCCAGGTGCGTGTCTCACTTAAGGATGCCTGGTACACCTGGTACTTGGGTGAATAACATGGTAATCTTTTATAATTATTTTCGTTGGTTTTGCTTTCAGGTAGTGGCTGCTTTGGGCAACACATACGTGTTCCATGGCCGTGGCAGCGAGGACGTGGCCCAATTGCTTGAGCAGCTCTCACGGGTTAGGTCCCTGTTACCCGTACAGATGTCAGTCGAAGAAGAGAAACTCGTGCGTGGGCTCCTGTGGGAAATGGTGCGAAACAGGGTCTTTTTCCAACACCCGGATCTCATGCGTACTTTGCATGTGCATGAGAATGTCATGGCCATCATGATGAACACTTTGGGTAGACAGGCACAACGTCAGGATGAAGCCGGCAATAAGGCAAGTACTGTATAGAATCATAGGATTATTTTGTTGGCTTGCAGAATTCTTCGGCAGCAAAATTCTGTGAATGAAAATAAATATTGAAATACGCGAATAACTCGTTGAAATTCAACCTTATAGCTGTTATTCTGGCGTACAGGATTTTAATAAGATGAAGAATCCAGCTTTGAAGGCTTGAGAGGGAAAGACTTCTAGCTACAGAGGTTTTTTATGCATTGCTTCTCAGTGAATTGAGAGAGAGAGAGAGAGAGAGAGAGAGAGACTTGAAATAATTAAAAATTTCAAATTACTGCATTTATGCAAGTACCACGCACCCTCAAGTAAGGCGGGCACAGGGGTTTTTCTGCTTGAAATTTGGCTAAAATTGTATCCCCAAGTAAGAGGCGCACCCCAATTTTTAGTAGACATAAAACCACAAAATTTCAAAAATAAAAGCAAAAGATCAACTTTAGGCATGAATTGAACAAAAATCTGATCAATTTTGAACTTTTTCATTCCAAAAAAGTTTTCTTGTTACATTTTTTTCAAATTTCTCCACTATAATTAAGTATAATGCAAACATAACTTCCTAAAACTTCTTGAAAATTTTGTACCCGCTTATGATGCACACCCCTTTTTTTCTTCTGAAAATTTGAGAAAAAAGGTGCGAGTGGTACTTGAGTAAATCCAGTAAGTGAATTATGGAGGTTTGAGTTTTTGTGGTTCAAATTCCAGTACACAGAAATTAGATTCAATAAAATTATAATGCTACTGTATATACTTGTACTCAGGAGTGCCAATTATTGGGAAATTTTGTGAAGTCAATGTACAGTACAGTACAATTTTCAAATCAGTACTACAGAAAATATGCCATATTGTCAAATAGTTTCAAATACTCAACGTAGAATCAACTATAAACTTTACCCATTTCAAGGGGCACAGTTGATGGCAAAGATTGTACATTGTGCAGCAAGCAGGACTATCTCTCTCTCTCTCTACAACTGAATTCAATGGAGCAGAATAAAATCGTTGTATAAAGAATTTCGTTTTAAACAACACCTTTAGGTTGATGACTGAATCCTATGGTTAAAAAAAATCGTTACACAGAAAAAATCGTTTCAGATGAGATATGTGTGTGAGAAAGAGAGAGAGAGAGAGACTCCACCATTTCATGGCTGTAAATCAATGCATTCTCAAGGTTTATTCGGGACTGCGAGCTATTTTTCTAATTTTAAACTTGAAAAGTATTTACGTTGAAATAATTCAAATTATCTTTCCACCACAAAAAAAAATTGAGAATGTCATGGCCATCATGATGAACACTTTGGGTAGACAGGCACAACGTCAGGATGAAGCCGGCAATAAGGCAAGTACTGTATAGAATCATAGGATTATTTTGTTGGCTTGCAGAATTCTTCGGTGGCAAAATTCTGTGAATGAAAATAAATATTGAAATACGCGAATAACTCGTTGAAATGCAACCTTATAGCTGTTATTCTGGCGTACAGGATTTTAATAAGATGAAGAATTGAGCTTTGAAGGCTTGAGAGGGAAAGACTTCTAACTACAGAGGTTTTTAATGCATTGCTTCCCAGTGAATTCAGAGAGAGAGAGAGATAGAGAGATAGAGAGAGAGAGAGAGAGAGAGACTTGAAATAATTAAAAATTGCAAAGTACTGTATTTACTCAAGTACCACACACCCTCAAATAAGTAAGGCGGGCACAGGGGTTTTTCAGTTGGAAATTTGGTTAACATCTTATCTTCAAGTAAAAGGCGCACCCCAATTTTTAGTGGATATATAAAACCGCAAGATTTCGAAAATAAAAGCAAAAAATCAACTTTAGACATAAAGTGAACAAAAATCTGATCAATTTTCAGCTTTTTCATTACAAAAAAGTTTTTTCTTGTTACATTTTTTTCAAATGTCTCCACTATAATTAAGTATAATGCACAAATAACTTCCTAAAACTTCTTGAAAATTTTGTACCTGCTTATGACACGCACCCCTTTTTTCTTCTGAAAATTTGAGAAAAAAGGTGCAAGTGGTACTTGAGTAAATATGGTAATTGAATTATGGAGGTTTGAGTTTTTGTGGTTCAAATTCCAGTACACAGAAATTAGATTCAATAAAATTATAATGCTACTGTATATACTTGTACTCGGGAGTGCCAATTATTGGGAAATTTTGTGAAGTCAATGTACAGTACAGTACAATTTTAAAATCAGTACTACAGAAAATATGCCATATTGTCAAATAGTTTCAAATACTCAACCTAGAATCAACTATAAACTTCACCCATTTCAAGGGGCACAGTTGATAGCAAAGGTTGTACAATGTGCAGCAAGCAGGACTCTCTCTCTCTCTCTACAACTGAATTCTATGGAGCAGAATAAAATCGCTGTGTAAAGAATTTCGTTGTAAACAACACCTTTAGGTTGATGACTGAATCCTATGGTTAAAAAAAATCGTTACACAGAAAAAATCGTTTCAGATAAGATATGTGTGTGAGAAAGAGAGACAGAGGGAGAGACTCCACCTTTTCATGGCTGTAAATCAATGAATTCTCAAGATTTATTCGGGATTATCGGGACTGCGAGCTATTTTTCTAATTTTAAACTTGAAAAGTATTTACGTTAAAGTAATTGAGAATATCTTTCAACCAAAAAAAAAAACGAAACAGGAAGGCGGAGGTGGGGAATCGCAGCAGCAGCAGCAACCCCAGCCGCAGAACCAGTCCATGCCGCATTCTGCCCCTGCAGACATGGTTGTGTCCTGCTGCCGGTTCCTGTGCTACTTCTGCCGGGCTTCCGGTGCCAACCAACGCGCCATGTTTGAGCACCTGTCCTTCCTGATCGACAACTCCAACATCCTGCTGTCGCGTCCGTCCCTTCGCGGCACCGCGCCACTAGATGTCGCCTACTCTGCGTTCATGGACAACACGGAACTCGCACTGGCCCTGCGCGAGCACTACTTGGAGAAGATCGCAGTCTACCTGTCCCGATGTGGCCTGCAAAGCAATTCCGAGCTCGTGGCCAAGGGCTATCCCGACATTGGATGGGATCCTGTTGAAGGGGAACGATATCTCGACTTCCTTCGTTTCTGCGTCTGGGTATGAAGACTAAGATACAGCAGTGGAAAATTGAAACTAAAAAGAGATTCATAAAGTTAAAAAAGAAACCACACGAATGCCAAATTCCAGCGGATGATGGGCAGTTCTGCTCATGGTGATCAGAATGTCAATTAATTCCGGTCTCCAGCGACATTTTTCAACCTCATCATAAGCAAATTTTGAGTGTCCTCAGGAAAGCTACATAATAATTAATAAATATTTTTTATTCAAAAGAAAATTATTGCCACTTTTTCCCTCATGCTGTTCCCTAAGTGGGATTTGTATCGACTTATCCAGATGAAAGCTAAAGTTGAATGTGAGGGTACCCAAAAAATATTTGAGCAAAAATGCATCAAACCAGTTTGACCCTAATGCCAAAATTTGATTACAAGATGTTGCATTCATTTGTGTTGATCTGTTATTTTTCTTAATCGTTCGCATCGAGTCACAATAAATTAGCGTTCCATTTTTTAAATAATTTCGATATGAAAATTTTCTCATGTTTTTGAAAGGTGCTGGTTATATTCCGCAATTTGAGTTCATTTGTTGGCAATGCTCGAAACGTTCCTCATCACGTGTCGTATTTTTTTTTTGTAAAAGGCAAACGTTTTTTTTTTCTTTATGATTGTCAATAAGGTGTCTGGAGAAAGTGTGGAAGAGAATGCGAACCTGGTGATTCGACTGCTGATCCGTCGACCCGAATGTCTGGGCCCTGCCCTGAGGGGTGAAGGCGAGGGGCTGCTGTCGGCCATTGTGCATTCGAACCAGATGAGCGAGCAGATCTCGATGCGCCGCCTCGGCGCCGGCGCCGAAAGTGAGCAGCAACAGGCGCATCATCCGATGCCCGAGGGCGACGATGACGAGGACTGGATCGACACCGGCGCCGCCATTCTCAATTTCTACTGCACTCTGGTGGATTTGCTGGGAAGGTGCGCCCCTGACCAGAGGGTCATTGACCACGGAAAGAATGAGGCCCTGAGGGCCAGGGCCATCCTCAGGTATGTCAGTTATGGCACATTTCTTGGACGAACAAAAACAGGAAAAGAGAAAAAATACTGTTGAAGCTGGACAAGAAAAAGATACATTTTGACTGGTCATTTACACATACTGCACAAATGGATGTTTAAGGTTTGGTTCAAAAGTTTTTCAACTTTTTGAAATAGATCCAACAGAGTTTCAAAAATTCCAAAAAATGTTCACCTTGCATATCACTACCATTTGGCAACCCTTCAGTGCTGTTCAACATACTTTCCGCTGATTTAAATGCATTTTTCATGAGATAAATCCAAATGATGAATGACTGAAGTGTTTCCAAATGATGGGCCAATGCAAGTAAAGAAAAGGAAATTATTGCAATCCTTTTAAATCTATTTCAAATAATTGCAACACTCATGAATCAAAAAATGTGCTTCATATCAGACGCCAAGAAAATAGAGCAAAATTATAATCATTAAAAAAAAGAACCTCTCCTCTATAATCTTGGTCTCCTATAGAGAATTGACACGTACCTTACACTCAATTTAATAAAGCATTGCTGATGGTGAAAAGTTCCCATGACATATATTCCATAGGAAGATTCTTGAAAATACATAAAATCAGATAGAATAAGCAGAAGAATTTTTGACACGATGAATTCCGCTTTGTTTGTTCCATCTGCAAAGTAATCATTTCCTTCTGCAACTGATTTTCAAAAACTTTTCCCCCAAATGAAAGAATGAACATCCTCTCAAATATTCAAGGGAAAAGAGATATTTTTATGAATATGCCGTAGGAAAACTAGTTTTAGAGAATATTGTGCAAAGATTGAGTCTGGCTGTTACGCTTATTAATGAATCCTCAATTTTTGTAAGATCCTTTGTAAGATAAACTTATACTGCTAATTTGTTTTCAATGTCAGGAAATGGGTGGCTGTATGCAAACATGTCAGATGTCCAGCTTTTTTTTGTGGAGTGTGTTCTTTTTTATTTTTGTCATCAATTTGTGCTTTGTTTCCTGCTTTGAAGTGATTGAATGTCTTTGAGGGGATTTTGGTTGGGTGGGGAGGGGGTTTGGATGTGGGAATCTTGGTTGTGCCTTGTGAAAGCTGAAAAGCGGCAAATAAAGTGTTCTGTTCATTCATTCATTCATATAAGATCCTTGGTACCACTGATGATGCAACCAAGATTTCTATCTCATTGATGTACAAGCTTGTGGTTCAACAATGACTTCATTGAAATATTTCGGCACCTTATGACAGAATTGAATCCTGCAAAAAATATTCAAGTGAAAAAGAAGAACCTCTTCAAGTGCATATTATGCAGTAGGAGCAATAAATAATACTTTTAGAGAATCTCTACTATAAAAAAATTGAGTCCGATTTGTCATATTTATTGGATATTCTTCCCTTCATCAAGATCCCTGGTGCCCCTGGAAGACCTGATTGGAGTGCTGAGTCTCAAGTTCCAACTGGGCCAGCAGCCAGCCATGATGAACGGTGGCCTGCTGGAGCTGGCCGACCAGCAACAGCAGGCCGCATCATCGTCAGACATCCCGTCTGGTCTCACTCCTCGCCACAAACAGAGCATCGTGTTGTTCCTGGAACGAGTTTACGGCATTGAAGAAAAGGCCCTGTTTTATCGCATCCTGGAAGAAGCCTTCCTTCCGGACCTGAGAGCAGCGACCATGTTGGACAAGGGGGACGGCGGCGAATCGGAAATGGCCCTGGCACTCAATCGCTACATTGGCAACAGCATCTTGCCGACTCTCATCAGGTACGCAGAGGGAATCAGGGATAATTTTTAAATGTGTAGAATACTCATGAGACTCATCCAACCGTGCTTTCCTTTCTATAATCATTGAGAAACAATTATAAATGGTGAGTTTTATTCCTTGAGCAAAATAAGATTAATTAGGTCAGTGTTCTCCAACCTTTCTGGACTTGCGGACCGCCAAAATTCTAAAATATTCTCTGCGGACTGTCAAAGTTTCATAAACATTTTTGAGTACCAGCAAATTTTCATTAAATTTTTGCATGCTCAAAAAAGTTTTGCTTAAAAGACTGCTCAAATGGCAGGTATTTGAAAAGCTTCTGCTTTTTTGCAAAATTAATTCAGGAACCAATGAAGCAGCTATAGTGGAATATCTTCAAAAAATGGAAAGGTGGGCTTGAAGAAAGGTTTTTCAGACTCAAAAGTTAAAGCAATTTATTAAAAATCAGATAAACATTTCTCTGAAGCCTCATATTAGGAAAAAAGCCGCTATATTTTCAATGAGATCATTTTAAGTGTCATTTATTGTCTTGCAAAAATTGAAAATAAAGATACTGTAATGTTCTTCATTATTGCTACTTGTGAAAAATTCATTAGCCTGCATGCTGGAGAAATTTCTTGCGGACCGGCAACACTGAATGGGGGAACACTGAATTAGTTTATTTCTTAGGTGGACTGAAATGTCATGGGTCCATTGGATCCCAAACAAAGGAATTGAATTGTGCAGCCATCAGAATGCAAGTTTTGAATAAGAACTCGAACTCTTTTCAGAGGAGTTCATTTGCATTGCCCAGTTCATCTATTGGCTGTTAATTCAATATAATGGCAGAGTCAATTGTAAAATTGGTTGGTTAGCTCAGAATATTGAATGAGGTACCGTAATTTAAAGTTAAAGGCCTTTTAACACTAGGTTCTGACTTCTCCTCTCAAAGAGGAATGAGGGTTTTTATGCCCAGGTGCTTGGACTGGGTCAGTAAGAAATCAGGTGATTTCTTCATGGCTCAGGATTGGCCAATTCAGGCAAAATCAAAGAAGTGATAACCACCTCTTGTCCTTGAGTGAGGCTCAGTGAGTCTGGCAAAAATGGGATTTTTGCAAGGCTCACTGGCCTCAGAAATGTAACAAGTTTTCTGGGCTGGTTTCAGCCGGATGCTGGAGCTGCATTGCTTCCGGCCGCGACATGAAACACGCCTTTAATTTTCATTGTTTACTTTTCGTAATCCCATGTAGTCATCGTGGGTTCTACGTGGACTCTGAGCAGTACAGCTCCCTGCTGGACGCCTCCCTGCACACCGTGTACAAGCTGAGCAAATCCAAGATCCTCACCAAGGGCCAGCGAGAAGCCGTGTCCGACTTCCTCCTGGCCCTCACGCGGGAAATGCAGCCCAGCATGCTGCTCAAGCTCCTGCGCAAACTCACCGTGGACGTGTCCCAACTCAGCGAATACACCACGGTGGCGCTCAAGCTGCTCACGCTCCATTTCGAGCGTTGCGGGCGGTACTATGGCGCCGTCGGTGGCCAGGGCAGCTACGGCTCCGCGTCCGAAGAAGAGAAGCGCCTCACCATGATCCTCTTTCAGAACATCTTCGACTCCCTGGCCAAGATGGAGTACAATCCCACGCTGTTTACGAGCTCTTTGCCGTGTCTGATTGCCATCGGCTGCGCTCTACCACCCGACTACACCCTCACCAGGTACACGAATAGATTCATTGCAACGAATTTGCTTTTATAATGTACAGTTACCCATTTAACATGGATGCGTCTTACTCAAGGTTGCTTTGTACTTGATGAAATATATATGGATAAATATATCTTTTAAAAATAAGATACATTATAATTTGAATTTGGACGTTAATCAAACTCAACTTGAATTTATTTTAAATTCAATCCGTACATACACATTCTTCTTCTTTCTTAATAAATTGTATTCAAGCTTTATATAGAAAAGAAATTTCAGATTCGTATAACACCAGATGTTGTTTTCATCGAAACCCCACGCGTTGACGAAACCCCAGGTCCGGCGACGACGACCTCATGTACCGCAGCACCTCCGACGCCGGGCCGTACATCCCGCAGCCCATCGGGACCAGTGGCCTCGTCCTCACCCACGAGATGGAGACTCTAGTCCAGGCCTTCAGCGAGCACTACCACGACGCCTGGGCGTGTCGCAAAATGGAGGCCGGCTGGACCCACGCCGACTCCTGGAGCGACACCGAGCGACTCCACCCACGCCTTAAACCCTACCACTTACTCAGCGACTACGAACGCGAACGCTACCGAGAACCCATCCGAGACGCCCTCAAGGCCCTCATTGCTCTCAATTGGAACATCGAACTCGTGTCGGAAGGCGGACTGGCGGCGTCGGCAGCAGCTGCTGCAGCCGGGGTAGGAGGCATGCAGATGCAGCATCACCAGCACGGCAGCCAGATGGCCAGCATTGCCGACTACCACCCGTCGCCGGCGGACATGACGAATTTGACGCTGAGCAAGGAGATGCAGAACATGGCGGAGCGGCTGGCGGAAGACGCGCACGACATCTGGGCGAAGAAGAAGAAGAACGAGTTGGACGCGTGCGGCGGAGTGCTGCACCAGCAACTGGTGCCGTATGACTTGCTGACGGACAAGGAGAAGCGCAAGGACCGGGAAAGAGCCACTGAGCTGCTCAAATACCTCCAATTCATGGGCTACAAATTAAGAAGGTGAGAAAGAGAGAGTTTTAATTCAGTGTTCTCCGAATCTTTTCAGGCCCATAGACCATAACATTTCCACAAAAATTACCTTTGGACCAGCAAATTTAGAAGAAAAAAAATTGTCTGAGGACCAGAAAAGTTTTGTAACACTTTTAAAATCTCGAGAAAGTTTTGTTTGAAAAACTGTATGGCAAGTACAGTACTTCAAAATTTCTCTTGACTTTTAAAACTCAGTCAAGTAAACTGGAAGCAGCTAAAGTTGAATGTCTCCATAGAAATTTGATGGGTGGACTTGAAGAAAGACTACTCAGAATGACAAATTGAAAGAATTAATTTCAGCAGTTGAAAATTTGTTGCCAATTAATATTTCGGCAGACTGGCTCTTGTCTGCGGACCATGGGTTATGGAACACTTTCTATGAATGAATGAACAGAAAACTTTATTTGCCACTTTTCAGCGTTCACAAGGCACAACCAAGACTCCCGCATCCAAACCCCCTCCGCACCCAACTCAACTCCCCCCAAGACATTCAATCCCTTCAAATCATGAAACAAAGCACAAACCAATGACAAAAACAGAAGAGAACACACTCCACAAAATAAAATAAAACTGGACATCCTACACATATGCTGCACACATCCACCCATCCCCAATATTGAAGAAAAAGCAGCAGTAAAAGTTTATTCAAAGCACAAGGTCTTAAAGCACACTTTCTAACTGATCAAGTAAGAAAGTGTTTTTCAACTGCCTTGAATTCAAACTTATACTGCAAAGACCAAATTCTTTTCTAAATACTCTATTGCACAAGAATGCATTTTCATGCATCAAATAAATGAATTTCAACCCTGAAGTCAAGCCTGGCATAAAGTTGAATACTTCTCTAAGTCAACATTTTTTCAAGTCTGTGTCTGAATTCTATTAAAAAACATTGCATTAAAAATTTCTCTGACTTGAAAGCTTTTCTTCTTGAACCTCCATCACTCATATTTTTGGAAGCCTTTTTTGTCTATTCTTTTCTTTACTAAGGAAAGAGAAAACCAATAAAAATATGTAAATTTATGTGTTTTGAAATGAAGTGAAGGACTATTGGGGCAAATGTGACCCTTGCCTTCAAGTTCAGCATCCTGTCAACTCATTCAAAAAGCCATTCAAGTCCCAGACTAGCATCCTCATTCACAATTTCCTGCCATTTTTTAATGTTACCCACAACAAAAATGTCTGTTTCCCTAAGTCAAAACCTCTTCAACTTAAAAATATTTTTGCTGGTCCCTTGAAATTTGACTTGAAGAGGTTTGACTGTAATGTATATACACAATTATTCAAATATGACTCTCGTGTATAATCTCTGTTTTCTGGTGCAGGTGCCACAGACAAACTGAGGGAAACCTGGAGAACATGAGCCCCCAGGCAGGCAGCAGCAGCGCCGCCGGAGTGGCGGTGGAGCGGCGGTTCGCCTTTTCCCTCCTGGAAAAGCTCCTCCGCTACCTGGACCAGGCCGCCGTCAACATGAAGATTCCCAAGCCATCTCGCAACTTCTCCCGTCGCAACTCCTTCCGTCAAACGTCCAAAGACGTCACTTTCTTCAACAAAGTCGTCATGCCGCTCATCGAAAAGTACTTTGTCACTAACCGCCAGTATTTCATCACAGTGGCGTCCGCCACCGTGTCCAGCGGCGCCGCGTCGCTCAAGGAAAAGGAAATGGTGGCGGCCTTGTTTTGTCGCCTGAGCAACCTGTTGCGGTCTCGAGCTTCCGCCTTCGGTGCCAACAGTCAGCTCTGTGTCAAGTGTCTGCAAGTCCTGGTCAGGGCCATCGATGCCAAATCCCTGGCCAAAAACTGTCCCGAATTTATCCGCACTTCCATGCTCAACTTTTTCAACTGCGCCGCGACGGACTTGAGTGAGACTATTTGCAATTTGGAGCAGCGAAGAGTGAGCCACATTCTGGGCACGCATCTCAAGACGTGTTCCAGTCTGAATTACGTGTACTTGGTACTCCTGCCGGTACTGACGACTTTGTACGATCACCTGGCTGCTAATGATTACGGGGCTGACTTGCTCGTGGGAGATGTGCAAGTCGCGTCTTACAAGATCCTCGGGGGTTTGTTTTTGCTCGGCAAGGGGACTGGCGACTTGTCTTCCGGCCGGAAGTTCATCAACAACGAGTTCCAAGTCCACAGGTGATTCTTAACTTCTTTTTCTTTTCCTCAAAACATTTGTTAGGGAATAACTTACCGTAACAAAAATTTGTGAAATTTGTTTGAGGATCGAAAGATTGAAGACTAAAGTAAAGTTTGAAATTTTAAAATAAAAAGCAGAATCAGCCTGGGACTAGGCCAGGAGTCCTGGTAGATTTCCTATTTGAAAAGGGTTAAATGCATTTCTTATTTTTCCCAAAGGTTAAGCACACAAAGACACAATTTTACACAAAACAACGCAACAGAACTCTTCCAAAAATTCATATAGATTTTGACATATGTGCATACGCTAAAGGTTTGATTGCGAATATGGTTTTGTTCGTTGGTGGACAAATTTTGTGCTGAAATTAGATCTGGTTTTTCATTGTTCTGATAATTTGGTTAGCCTTGGAGAGTTCCTTCGCTTGCTTTGAGGGTTGGTTCTCTTATCTGATTTTGTGGTTTTTCAGAGTTTTATACATTTTAACTTTATCATTATTTGGGGTGCACGTGCGGCTTCCCAACAACATTGAAAACAATGGTTGACTATGGCTTTTTTACGTTTCGGGAAAGGGAAATCTTATCTTGATTATCAAGAACAATTGAAACTCTGTTAGAATACAGATGAAAGATAATGAAAACCTCCTTTCGATTGGAATATGCGGTTTACTAAATTACTGCATATCTCATATTTTATAAAATATAAGCACTCATTTCCATGGATTTTACGTTGGGTTTTTGTTTTTGATTTATGAGTATGTGAAAGAGGTTTTGGGCATTTTTGTTTCTAACTCACGCTTTATTTGCCAACTTAATTTCCTTGCAGAAATTGGGAGTCCAGTTTTTTCATTACAGTTGAGCTAAAATTATGTACACTATGTGTTCAAAATCCAGGCTTCATTCCAAACATTGAATCAGTCAGAAGCCATACATTTTTATAAACAGACAGCATCATTCAATTTTTCGGAAATTCCAATTTTTAATAGATGAAATTGTTATGCTCAAGTTTTTTCTTCATTTTAGGGGGTGGTATATCAATAACTCTGCTTTGTTTCTAAGGATTACCATAATATCTAATGACAACAAACTTCCAGAGACTTGATAGGAGATTCGTTGTAAAAGAAATTGCTTCATTGAGGTTCTCAAGTTTTTACATATTTTAGACTGAAATTCTGTTGGAAATATGCTGTAAATACTGTGAAGTGCTTCTGCAAAAGATACTTCAAGACCTTTAAGTAATTCTAATTATTTCTGATAGAACAAGAGGAACATTATCGAATATCACTTTCCCTTTCATTGGGCCGGTCTTTCTGCTAAATAAAGATGCATTTTTCTTGAAAAATGAAATGAAACAATGCGGGAGAACTAATTCCTTCTGAATCAACTAACGCATTCTTATCTGTTCCCTCAAACAAATGGAACTTTTTCCTTTACATACTGTACAGTTTGTTTGAAAGGAAGGCATGCATATATTTCCAAATGAAGCCAAAGAATTATAAAGAAAAATGTCATGTTGTTTAGTTTTTGAACACTAAATGTATTGGTGTTTTGCCACAGATAATTCTGCTTCTTTGTTGAAGTTGAAATGCCGCATAAATTCAATTTTTCTTACCATTTATCATCTACAGTAATCACTATGCTGGCCTGCACAGAATCATGGCCAAAGATTCATTATACTGTAAAATACTGATATTATATACCCTATGAATGAATGAACAAAACACTTTATTTGCCGCTTTTCAGCGTTCACAAGGTTCAATCAAGATTTCCACAACCAAACCCCCTTCCTGCCCAGCCCAAATCTACTCAATGACATTTAAACACTAAACAGAGCACAAATTGATAAAAAAAATAAAAGAAAATTCAATCCACAAAATACAATATAACCTATAAAATGAGTTCGTTGAAATATGATTTTTAGAACACATGATGCCTATGAAGAAACTGCTGTGACCAAAAAAAAAAGGTTGTCTTTTAAAAAAAATCGTCGATTTTTTGTCAGTGCTTTAAAATTATCAGGGATTCCAGCAACAGTGTCCTGAAAATTTCAGGAAACCTGTTACATAACCTGATTTTCTTTTTGATGTACCCATCACAGGCCTACGATCGGCTCCTGTTTGGGAGCATTCGCAGCTGCATTCCCAGTGGCATTCTTGGAACCCGCCTTGGCCAAAAACAACCCCAACTCGATCCACGGCCAGGCAGCCGATCATTCCCTGGAGGCCCAAGACGTCTTGGCCCAACTCGAAACCCAACTGCCGACCCTGGAACGAATCCTCGCCGAAATCAGCGACTGGGTCCAAACCCGGTCCAGCAAATACGCCGAAACCCCGCACATGATCGATCTTTATTTACCCATGCTCTGCGCTTACCTTCCTTATTGGTGGACCCACGGGCCAGACAACGTGAACCCCACGGAACAAGGGCTGCATCTCACAGCGGTGACCAGTGAGCACATGAACCAGTTGCTGCGCAGTGTCTTGAACCTCATCAAGAACAATATCGGGATTGAGAATTGTCCCTGGATGATTCGCATTGCGTATTCCCAGCAGATCATCATCAACTCGGCCGATGCCTTGCTGACTGATCCGTACTTGCCCCTGTCGCGGAAAGTGAAGCAACGCGTCGACGCCGTGTTCCACAAAGAAGAGTCCATGAAGGGTTTGTTTTCCTTGTCATGTGCCAAACGATAAGTACAGTGAGACCCCCAGATGCGGACATAATTGGTGCATCAAGATTGTACCTAAGTCGAGTCTGGTTTTCCCATCCATAGACGTACATTATATAATTTTCAATTGGTGTTTCTATGGATGAAGAAATATTCTTTAGAATTCCATGAAACAAAGGTTTTTGCCCCTTGAATTTGATTCAGTAAATATTTTTTCAACCTAATAAGAAAATTTTGAGCATTGAATAGTACATATCAATGTACAGTTCATTGAATTGTTGGCATCTGTAAAAATGACATCCAAGTCACAAAAAGAGAAGGAAGTCCCTCTGTGCTACAGGTAATTTTTTTAATTAGCTGAATTGATGGGAAAGTGATAGGAAAAGTACCAAAGAATTGTTCTTACATATTATAGGGCTTAGGGTTGGAAATATCTGCTTCTTGTAATTAAGCTTAATAAAAGTCAATTTCCCTAAAATTTTAACTGGCAATTTTATCATGCAATGTCCTCATCTTGAGTCAGTGTCCCTATGTCGGGCCATTTTAATTATTTTTTTATTGAAAAATAAATGTCCCTATGTTGAATTGTCCCCATGATGTTGAGGGGCCTGCATGTGAGGGTCTGATTGTACTGTATAAACAGTTGATCAAAAAAAAACTGAAAGAAATTTCACTCCTGAAGTGTTCTTTCTCCCAAAAAATGCCTATGCATCACAGGCTCATATGTATTTAAGATGAACGTCTTTGAAATTTTATTTCAATTTATTCAGAAACTGAAAGAAATTTATGAAATGTTCCTTCTCTCAAAAAAATTGTCTATGTATCACAGATTCAAGTACTGTATATTCCAAATAAAAAGCCTGTGCAGTTCTCCGCCAATTTATGCGAAAATATTCTTGATTTTTTAAAAATTATTTTTCTGAGTAACTCGGACATTTAAAAAAGGAATGAATCTTGCCAATTTCCGGGGAAAAATTTGCCATGTGCTTTCCCAAAACAGTTTTGATTGCTGTTTCTTAGTTTTGAGGGCTTTCGAATAATTCCCAAGCAGCGCACTTCGAAAATTAATTTTGGTTTCCTCTAAAAATCAATTTCGTAATTTTCGAATGATTTCATTTTTTCAAACTTTCTTCTTTTTTCTTAGGATGTTGAAAAAAAGGAGGAAACCAATGGCGACAGCTTGATTGTCTCCTGTTTGCATGCTTTTTCATGTTTTGAAATTTTTCCGGTTTACTCTCAAAAGAGAAAATGAATTTTCCAAATAGTGCGTTTTTCTCCTGAAAACTTCTATGTTCAAATAGATTTTAAGTAAAACTTGATACGATTATCTTTGTACAACGAAGCTAATATAATTAAATAAATTGACTAATTAATGAATGCAGTAGAATTCCAGGAAATTATTATTAATGAAGCTTCTTCAATCTTGACTCAAAAAATGTATGAACTTCTATTTTAAATCGAGTGATAAAGTTCTTTGAAATCGTTTTTAAATGTGATTGTACTTCAATGGCAAAGTTAATGTCTAGCTTCTATAATAATGATTTTTTTTAGTTTCGCTGTTTTTTTTACGAATTAGGAAAATTAGGCTGCTGTCTATTATGAGCTGTCCCTTAAAAGTCGTACTACAGCATTATATCAGAGTCAAAAAAACAGTCATAGTTTAATTATCAAAAATAAGAGACGCTGATATTTCTCGCGAAACCAAATTGGTTTGATGAAACCAAAAAGTACCGACGCACGTGTTCATAAATAAATAAATAAATGGAAAATATATGAACTTGCAATATTTGGGATTCCATATATATATATATATATTCCCATCGTGTAGGTTTGCTCAAGTCCACGACAGAGGACACTTCCCAGCTGGAAGCCGAGATCCAAGACGAATGGAACCTCGTCGTGAGGGATCTCTACGCCTTCTACCCGATGCTCATCAAATACGTGGATCTCCAGAGATCCCACTGGCTCAAACAGCCCTCGGACGCCGCCGAAGAACTCTACAACAACATCGCCGACATCTTCAACACCTGGTCTCGGTCCCTGTTCTTCATGAAAGAAGAACACAGCTTCGTCAGCCAGCACGAAATCGACAACATGACGCTCATCATGCCGGCGGCGTCTGCGGGTCGCGGCCGCGGCGGCGAAGGCGGCGGAGGCGCCGGGGCCGGTGGCGGCGGTGCTGGTGGCGGCGGAGCTGGCCCATCAGCCACTGCTTCCGCAGGCGGCGGGAAGAAGATAAAGAAGAAGAAGAGCAAGTCGGAGAGGGAAAAGGACAAGGACAGCAAGGGCAAAGGCAGCAGTTTGATCGTGGCCTGTCTGAAACGATTGTTGCCCGTGGGACTGAATTTGTTTGCTGGTCGCCAACAGGAACTCGTGCAACGTTGCAAGGACAAGCTGCTGCAAAAGCAGGCAGAGTCTGACGTGCAAGACTTTGCCAGGATTCAACTCACTTTGCCAGGTATCCTGCAATTGTCATGACAGGAATGATTAATAAAACCAGTTCTATATACATATTTTTGAGGCCCTGTGTCGTGCCTGCTGAGCAGTGTAGAAAATAATAGAGGAACTGGTTGAAATACAGCCCAAATAGCTCTACTGGATGTGTTGTGGACTCAGGTCTCTCTTTGGTAATCCAGGCAAAATCTAATGATGTAGAGAAAAAATAAATAAATTAGCAAGCCACAAAATCTGGGAGAATTTTAAAAGTTTCATCTCTGAAAAGTTTTACATTTCCACTGCTGGTACTGAGATGTCATTGAATTTCATTTTAAATGTTATCATATTACTTTCATCAAGAACTTGATCAAGGTCAACATAATTAATCAATTCAAAATATCTTTCCTTGTTGCACAGTTTATGCAATTTTATGCAATCAAACTCTGTTGGGATGATTCTTGACATAAATTTCCACTCATAATATGGATTTCTAATGGAATCAACTCTTGGACAGTCCCAGGCTAGTTGTTGTGTGTGCTTTATATTTCTAATTTGAAGTCTTTTATCTTTTCTTGATCAGCATCCTTGAGTCTTTCTTGTGATGTGTAGATTTGTTCTCCAACAGGATGAAAAATTTGGAAGATTTACTTTTCATTTGGTTTCTCACATAAGTCCAAAAGAACTTTAATGAAAGCGACACCTTCAAGCTTTTGCGAAAGTAAATTTGGGGATTTTTTTTGCATATTATTCGAATTTCCGTTTGTATAATGAAGACAAGATCCATACCTTCGATTTTAAAACAGTATGTTATTCTCACAATATTGACTGGGTTGCAGAAAAAAAATTTGAAACTGTATATATAATGTTGTGCGCCCTAAACTTAGAATTTCCCCTTGACCAAAAAAGATTCACCAAGTCCTAGTAAAATATAGATTAATTTTATCTAGAGAATAACCGGATATGACTTCAATAGTGCAATAGACGTAGTGTAGTGACGTAGTCGGAGAATAATTAATGGCTGAAAGCCGTGCGATCCACTGCTAATTTGGATTATTGCATTTATCTTAGACGGCGTGGTTATTCTGCTTATACTAACTTATACTGTCGATTATTTTTTCCCTTCAAAATGCCGATTCATCGCTTCCAATTGATGTTAGATTACGGTGAGTCTAGTCATCATTGACTTGTGCATCCCAACTAACACAATTTGCTTATTCGGAATGCCTAATTATGAAAGATGCTTCGAAAGTCTTCTCAATCGAAAGCCGAAATATTCACTTTTTAAGACGATACCGTCAAATCTTGAAAAAAAGCCATAAAAAATTGTCAAGTTCAACGGTAACATCAGAAAACATTGACTATGAAAACTTTTTTGTTTGTTATAAATCACTTCTCGATGTAAACATGACGCGTGTTCGTTCATTTTTGTTTCGAATTACTGTACTAAGAAATCAGAAAATGATCAAAAGTTGTTGCTCAAAAAAGTGTCTTAAACACTCGAGGCAATTAAAACAAATTGTTGAGCGTGAAAGATCCTTACCATAAAACTACATAAAAATGTTTTTTCCCGTCTCAACTCTAGAGGATAATAAACTTGATATTGACACAAAAAACAAGGACAAGACAGAATTGCATTCTCTTGTATGACAGTTGGAATGAGTTCATTGAAAACTAAAACCTCTTATACAGTAGAATCTTGTTGCAAAAAATCATTCGAGACTTCGAAAAAAGTTGTTATTGAAAAAAAAAAATCTGTAGTAAAAAAATGAAAATTAAAATTTTGGTTATAATAAATTTGTTGTACCCATAATTGTATTTGTCTGACTACCACCCATCGTCAGGTAAAGCCTACATCAAGGTTTAGAACTGCAATATTTAATAAATAAGAACACCCAATTTTGAATCTAGACACAAATTGATCCTGAGTTAAACTAATTTTAATTTAATTTCCGCTACAAAAAGGGTTTCTGGTAAAATTTGCCATACTTTTTCCATTAAAGTCAGATTTAATGCACATCTGAAGTTGTAAAACAAACAAACAAATTATATCCGCATATGACATGCACCCCCTTTTCCCTCTCAATTTTTATTTACAAGAAGGGTGTGCATGTTAATTTAGTGAATATTGCAGCTCATTATAAATAGATGCATTATTGTAACAATATTATACTGTATTTTGAAGAAGAAAAAAGTCCATTCACTGCGTGTTATTTTGCATGATCATGCCTGCATGCCTGCTCCGTTGACATATTAAATCCCGATGACATCCTCAAATATACACACCCCAAAATTTCAACCGTTGAAAAAAAAAAAATTTAAATAGGGTAACGATTCTTCAAAAAATTAATCTGGCCAACGCTTTGAATCGCTCGGTAATCCAGACAAGATCGACCCCGCCGACGAGATGTCCTGGCAACACATGCTCTACGCCAAACTCGGCACGCAAAAGCACGCCGCCGACGAGTCCGGCAAGGCATCATCCGCAGCAGCCGCCGCCGCCGCTGCAGCTGCAGCTGCTGCAGCCAGCTCCCGGAGCAAGAAGCAGCAACAACAGCAACAACAACTCAGCCTGGAACAAACAGCGACTCGCATCGTGGGCATGGCCAAAGTGCTTTTCGGCCTCCACACCATCGATCACCCGCAAACCGAAGCCCGAGGCGCCATGCGCAAGGTCATGACGCCGCAGCGGAAAAAGGCCGTGATCCAGTGTTTCCGCCAGGTGTCACTGCATTCGCTGCCCGTGCACCGCGCCATCAACTTGTTCCTCATGTCCTACGCGGGTCTTTGGCTGGACGACGAAAACGTGGGGCAGGAGCAGGTCATCGAGGACTTGACGCTCAGCTTCGAAGCTTCCGAGCGGCAAAAGAAAACGATCACGTCTTCGGGCCCTGCTGCTGCGGCGGCCGCGGACGAGTCCTCGTCGTCATCGTCTGCTGCTGGAGCAGCGTCATCTAGCGGCGGCGGAGACGACGCCGGTGGCAGTGGCGGGCACAGAGGCGGGCCTCCGGATCCCGTGACGACTCTCGTCAGAGTGTTTTGCCACGGAGCCAGTTCTGAGCATGCAGCTGACATCGCAGGGGATGATTTGTACATGAAGTATGCCGCCATAATGGCAAAGAGTTGCGGAGATGAAGAAGAGGAGGAAGAGGATGAAGGGGGAGACGGAGATGCGTCCATTGCTGAGCAGGAGATGCAGAAGCAGTTGTTGCTGTTTTCGCAGAGTCGGTTGGCCAGCAGGGGAGTGGCGGAGATGGTGCTGCTCTACTTGTCTGCTTGCAAGGGGGTTCAGTCTGATCTGGTGGGTGTCTTTATGCGTGATTTGACAACTCCTTTTTTTGTGTTTAAAAAATATGAACTCAATGTTACCAAAAATCTTAATCTTTCATGCTGTTACAGTATAGGTTTTGATCAATAAGTAGCTGATTCCCAGTGAATTTTCCTGGTATTCCATCAAAGAATAGCTTTATTCTGAGTATAAAAGTTGAACACTTGAATAATTGATTGACGTTCCTCATATAACGCCAGGTGATGGAGACACTCAAGCTGGGCATCTCCATCCTCCGTGGCGGCAATGTGGACATCCAGAGGGCCATGTTGCAGCACCTGAAGGACACCAAAGACGTGGGTTTCTTCACGTCCATCGCAGGCCTCATGAGCTCGTGCACAGTGCTCGACTTGGACGCCTTCGAGCGGAACACGAAGGCCGAGGGTCTCGGCGGCGGCCCCGACGGCGCCGCTGGCCAAAAGAACATGCACGACTCGGAGTTCACCTGCGTGCTTTTCCGCTTCGTGCAGCTCACCAGTGAGGGCCACAACCTGGACTGGCAGAACTACCTGAGAACCCAAGCCGGGAACACGACGACTGTGAATGTGGTCATTTGCACTGTGGACTACCTTCTCAGGCTTCAGGTCAGACAGCTTACGTATTATAGAGGAGAATCAGAATTTGGCTATTATATATAGACAAATGGGTGCGGGTGAAATTCGCCGCAGTTGAACTTGCTGAACCCTAACTTGCAGCTGCTGCAACTTACCGCAGCCTGAAGTGACTGCAGTCAAAAGTTGCCACTGCAACAAGTTGCTGCAATCATTTCTCACCGCAGTCACAACGTGCAGTAGTTATAAGCTGCCACTCTTTTAACACATGCTGTACTTGAAGATTAATTCATACAGTTCTAGAACTTTTTAAAACTTAATTCACTGCAGAACATGCTTGCAATTGAAAAAAATGTACAATACAATAATATGGAAAAAAACCTTACCATCAAAAATAAGATGCACATCATTTAGCAACCAATATAGTACTAGTTCAGGATGAAGGAATTCATTGAAACCCCCTCTATATATTCTAAAAAATTTTCACACAGCAGAATGCCTAGTTAAGAAGTGGAAGAATGTGGGATTTCCTTTTTTCCTGAAATTTTAGTCAATGCAATATGGCAAGTGGCTGCAATTCATTTGGCAAATTGCGATAGCAGCAAGTCATTTCAGTGGTGAGTTGTGGCAGTGACAACTTCCACCTGCGGTGACTAATCACAGCAGCAAGTTAACACTGCAACAGCGGCAAGCTAACACTGTGGCAGGTTGTGACAGTGGCAAGTTCAACTGCTTGTGGCAGGATGGTTGTGCGGCAAGTTAGAAAGTGGCAAGTTTCACTGACACAAGACAAATGTACAGTCAACCCCCATCTAACGGACTTGATTTGTGCAAGGGACAAGTCTGTTGGACAAAAAGTCCTTTACACAAATTTAATTACATAAAACTTGAAAATTTAAATTTTCAACACTAATTTTAAACCAAAAGAAGTCTGTTTGGTGGATTTTGTCTGTTGGGCGGGAGGAAAAACTGCTTGCAAATCTGGTCTGTTCGGCAAAAATCCCTTACACAGGAGGTCTGTTAGGCGGGGGGCCACTGTATTGCAGTTAACCCTTGGACTGCAGAGGGTTCTTTCAAATTGCAGGATGGAGTCGGATTATTTTTGCATCGTCCTGCATTTTTCAGTTTTTTGAAAGTCAAGCAAACCCTTCCAGGTGGGCTGAGGCAAAGTCTGGATTAATCCCAGAAAAGCCTGTTGCTTAACTGAGCATTTTTTTCTTAATTTCCTGCAAAATTTTTCAGTGCCAAGGGAAAAAATCAGACTTTGCCCTCAACTCCCTGTTGTCTGAAGTGCACCACACTTTTGCAAAAATAGTAAAAATTTGCTGTTCAGCAAGGGTTAAAATGAACACACATTTTGCAGGAATCCATCATGGACTTTTACTGGCACTACTCCAGCAAAGAGCTCATTGATCCATCAGGAAAGGCCAATTTCTTCAAGGCCATCGGCGTGGCTTCCCAGGTCTTCAACACCCTCACTGAAGTCATCCAGGGCCCCTGTGTGCAAAACCAACAGGCCCTGGCCCATTCCCGCCTCTGGGACGCCGTCGGCGGCTTCATGTTCCTCTTTGCCCACATGCAAGACAAGCTGAGCAAGCACAGCTCTCAGATCGACCTGCTCACAGAGCTGATGAACCTGCAAAAGGACATGGTCGTCATGATGCTCTCCATGCTCGAGGGCAACGTCGTCAATGGCACCATCGGCAAACAAATGGTGGACACTCTGGTGGAGTCGGCGTCCAACGTGGAGATGATCCTCAAGTTCTTCGACATGTTCCTCAAACTCAAAGACCTCACGTCTTCCGCTGCGTTCCAAGAACTCGACAAGGACTCCACGGGTTGGATCACGTTGGACGAATTCCGCGAGAAGATGGAAGCGCAGAAAACGTACAGTGCCGATGAAATTGCGTACGTGCTCGGGTGTTGCGAGGCCAATGTGGACGGCAAGATCAACTACGTGGAGTTCACTGAGCAGTTTCACAACCCTGCCAAGGAAATCGGATTCAATTTTGCAGTGTTGCTCACGAATCTGAGTGAACACATGCCCAGTGATGCGAGATTGGCGAGATTCCTGGAGACTGCGGGTTCCGTGCTCAATTACTTTGAGAACGTTTTGGGCAGGATCGAAATTTGCTCGGGCCACAAGATTGAGAGGGTACGTGTTTTTCTCAAGTTTTTTTTTCTTCTTCCAGATTTCGCCCTGTGATGAAATTCTGCATGAACTACTTCTGGTGTATTATCAAAATCAGCTTACATAGCAGGACTTTCTTGTTGAAAAATTATTGAGTCTAAATTTTAAATTTAAAATTGTTTGCGACCAATTTTAGTTCAGAGGCACAGGATTTTAGGCAGCCTGATTTCAGCAGTTCGCGGTCAAGGAATAATCTTAAAAATACAGCTACTCCTCTTACTCTACAGTGATTGAAAGAAATGAAAGTCCTGTGCACAATGTTTCCCCGCAAAATTTCGCAAATTCCCAAAGTAAGAAGAAATTGCGTCTTGCACATTATTTACGAGAAAGATATAGGCAGAATTTTTGATTTTTGAATCTTAAAATAAAATGCATTCCCCAAACGAATATAAGTTTTCACTGACTTTCCTGGGACCTAAAATTTCAGACTCAATTCAGATTTTCTCCAGAAAAAGAAAAAAATGTTTTCATAAAACCTTTACTCCTTATCTTTGCCTTCAAATAATCACTCATACATATTGGAGGGCTACAAGCTGACCACGTTTAAAAAAAAATCATTTTCCACTTCAATTCCAAAATAACTGAAGAAAATTAGTGTTTGATCATTTTGGGGGTCAGAAATAGGAAGCTTCTGTGAGTTAGACACATTTGAGAATATTGCAAAAATACTTTATATACAAACTCTCAATATAGTCTATAACAATCTTGTCTAAAACGATATTTTATGCATAAAAACTCTTTTTTGGTCCTCTCCCGATATGTTGTAGGGGTTCTCTACAACAAAATCCTCGTTACAGACGATTTTTTCCTGGTCTCTCGAATTTTTTTGTGAAGAGAGACGAGACAGCCCACATGTATGAGCACCCCTTTAAAATTAAAGAAAATGGTTTTTTGTATTTGCGTAAATATGGTTTTTTGAAGAGGCCTACTTGAAGCATTTTTAAAAATACGGAGTTTTTTTTTGTGGCTAAATATAATATTCGAAAAATGATTTTAAAAATCATCAAATACGTAGGTATATTTCGAGATTGACGAAGACAACATCGATCAGTGGGAGAAGCCGCAGATCAAAGAGTCGAAACGGGCCTTCTTCTACTCGATCGTCACCGAGGGCGGCGACAAGGAGAAGCTCGAGGCCTTCGTCAACTTCTGCGAGGACGCCATTTTCGAGATGCAACACGCGTCGTCCCTCATGGGCGAGACGGACGCCGGGCCGATGCAGCAGGGCGGCAAGGGCGGCAAAGCGCATCAGGCCTATGCCTACTCCCCGACGGACGACTACGACGCCGACGACGGCACGCCCGGCGGCGGCGGGCCTCGGACGCCCAAAGACCGCGCCGTGGACGCCGTGCGTCGGGGCTTCTCAGCCACGTGGCGCACTCTGGCGTTGCTGAGTCCGTCCAACTTGGTGAAGTGTGCCAACGACTTGCGCCAGATGCCGCCGCAAGACATCCTCGTTGGATTCCTCCAGCTGTTGTTGAGAGTGTTTTTGTCTACCGGAGGCTTTGGATTGTGGATCCTCACTTCCATGTTTGGCATCATGATGACGTTGATGAGGGGTCAGCAGTTGGAGCCCGGGGAAGGGGATGACCAGGAAAGGGAAGAGGAAGTGCGAGAGGAGAAACCGACTTTCAAGACTGTGCCAGTGGCTGTGCCTTTACCCATGGCTGCTGCAGCTGCTGCTGCTGCAGAGCCTGGCTCATCAGTAACAGCCCTACCAGCCATCATGCCAGCATCTGATGAAACAGGTAAGCTGCCCAGGATATAAAAAAAAATGGGCTCGAATGAAATATTTGTAGCTGATCTTGTAAGAAAATTCAACTCAACTCAGATGAGGCTCAGAGAGACACTATAGCTGATGGAGAAAGTATATAGGGAATAACTCAGCTTTCAAGCACTTAAATTGCAAAGGGTTCTTCATTCCCATAGCTAGAAAAAGTTGGGATTTTATCAGACTGAGGTGAATCTCCTTTAAATTGAATAATGTTGAACCCATGAGATGAGGTGTGGATTGAAAGACAAGTTGGACTTTGTTTGAGAAGTTGATTTTTTAATTGAAGTTTTCCTGTTGTGATCTTTAAATCATAGGATATTCGCTTTTCAAGTTTTAAATGAATCAGTAAATGAGGTAACAAGAAAAGCTGTGGAAAAAAACTCATTTTGTAGATGCATTATTTCCTCCTGAAAGGAATTTTTTGAGCAAAGCAAAAGTAGGACTTTTTTAAAATTTCCCCTCCACTCACAGTCATGCTTTTTTCTCAATCTGTCTGATAATCAACAGAAGAAATTCGTCAAAAAGGGAAATTCTGGCTTTGCCACCCTGGAGTTTAGGGTGAATAAATGGATACTCAGACATTCAAGCATGGAGGTTTTAAAATTGAAGAAGAAAAAACAATCCTTACTTGAAGTGAGACTGACTATTTGCATCCCAGACATTTTTTTTTTACAAGTAAAGGTTGGAAAAACAAACAGGTATTATATAGGAACAACCAAGATAAAACTCTTTTCTGAGCAAAAATATGTTCACTAAGAGAGAGAAAGTGTTTTGTAAAAGGCGTTCTTCTGAAAAGTGCACTATATACACTACCGCAAGTAAATCCATAAATAATTTTAAAATCTTGCGAATGACTTCAAGTCTAAGCTTCCAATCATTTTTTTTCCATTTCATGGCTTCTTAAAAATTGAAAAGCTCTGAGTCAAAAGCTTTAAAAAAGCAACTTTTTGGAATTGAAAACCAATTCAATCCATTATAAATATCGATTCATTCTAAGAACTCTCTGCTATTATCAAGAGGTTATTATATTTATATCCGCGGTTTCTGTCAAGTCTCAAGTCGCTTTTTGCTCGAACCACGCATTTTCCTCTTTCTGATGGCCCATTTCTGGTCCGCATGCCTTCTAATAGACAGTTTTTTTGAATATATGTTCGGGAAATGAAATTCATTTTTGATGTGCAACCAACTGTAATAGGTGGCGGAGACCAGGGCCAGGGCCAGGGAGCAGCAGCCGGCGACTCTTCCGCGGGTGGCCAACTCGGGACAGCAACCACGGACCAGACATCAGGTGCTGGCACCTCTCTGCTCCCAGCGGGCCTCACGTCCATGCTGGGCCAGGTCACCATGTCATCCGGCCCAGAAGAAGACGCCATGGCCACCGAGGACGCCATCGCCCAGCAGCAGGCCCTGCTGGCCGCCGAAGCCGAAGCCGTGCGTGCAGGCAAAGAACCCGGTGCTGTCCTCGCAGCCACTCCGAGTGGCAGCAGAGGTGCTGCGGCAGCCGCAGCAGCAGCAGCTGCAGCAGCTGCTGCTGCTGCCGAAGACGCCCCCCCAGTCGCGCAAATCAACTTTGGCGAATACACGAAACGCGTGCTGAGCTTCTTGGGCAGGAATTTCTACAACTTGAAATACGTCGCGTTGATCCTGGCGTTTTGCATCAACTTCATGTTGCTGTTCTACCGGGTGAGCACTTTCGATCAGGACGACGGGGCTGTGGGACTCGGCAGTGGCGAGCAGATGTCCGGAGAGGTCTTGGCCAGCAGTGGGGAAGCACTTCCGGAGTCCATCGTCGCGGCGGCACTCGGAGGCGCGTATCATCATCGGGATTTGGGCGGCAGTAGCGGGGAAGCAGGCGACGATGGCGGCGGCGAAGACGATGATGACGATAATGACAACGACGACGATGAGGATGATGATGACGAAGAAGAACTCGAAATCGTTTCGGTAGGCCAAAAAAAAAAAAAAAAAAAAGAAGAGAAGATAAATCTGAATTTCATTCCTATCAAATACAAATTTAGGCGATATTTGGCACGAACTATTGAAGAAAAGAGAGATGTATGACAGAAAAAGATTGGTATCTTGAAGAAAATCGGGATTTATGGGACCCCGAAATATGGACGATTCGACTCAATATATAGGGACGCTGATACAAAATATTATGCCCTAAAATCTTGGCAGTGTCCCGAGATACGGACACTTCAGCATTCCCAGAAAAATGTAGAATTTTTACATTCTGATTCACCTTAGACAAATTGAGCTATCTATATTCCCAAAAGTGGTTTATACTTTTTGGTTAATTTAAATAAAAATCTGGCTAATTTTTTGCTTCTTTTATTTTCCAGAATTATTTCCAACATTTGCTTTCAGTGTAGCTAGGATTGCTCTGGTTTGCTTATTGAGCTCCTTCTGATGCCAAAACATCAGATTTTGTGCGGTCTTCTTCTGCACAGTTATTTTTCTATATCTTGAAGATAAAAAAAACAAATTGTTTTCCATTTTTGCGGAATTTATTCCTAGTTTTTGATGAGCATCAGGAGAACCAAGTTTAAGATATTCCTTTCGAAGTCTATTGGAAAACGTGATCCCGCATATGGATGTTCTTAAATTATGTCCGCATCTCGGGGCCACACTTTTCTTTTTAAATTTTCTTTGATCTGTTCCTTTTTGCAGTAAAAATGTATATGTGATTCAGCTCAGCAAGAAACACTCTTATTTGAAAATTTCATCCGTTTCCAGGTGGATGACAAATTTTTCTACATCGACTACGTCGTCCGACTCTTCGCCATGTTCCACAGTCTCATTTCAGTCGCCATGCTCGTCGCCTATTACCATCTCAAAGTGCCTCTCGCCATTTTCAAACGCGAAAAAGAAATTGCACGTCGCCTGGAATTCGAGGGGTTGTGGATCACGGGTCAGCCGGACGACGATGACATCAAGTCGCACTGGGACAAGCTCGTCATTTCCTCGAGATCGTTTCCCGTCAACTACTGGGATAAGTTTGTCAAGAAAAAAGTCAGGCAGAAGTACAGCGAAACGTACGACTTTGACGGGATAAGTATGCTTCTCGGGATGGAAAAAACTTCGTCGTTTTCGAAAGCTGATGATGCTGGCGCCGGTGGGCTTTTGTCCTTCATCACTGGCATCGACTGGCGCTATCAGGTACAGGGTGGGCCAAAATAAATCGAGTGGATAGCTTTGAGCTGGGTTCACTTTTATCAAGTTCCAACAAAGGAATACTGTCAAAATTATCACCCGCTGAAGGACTCGACTCCTGACGGATCAGGATGAATTTATTTTCAGTCGTGTTTGGCTCTTTGCAATTTAATCTAATGCACTAGTTGGTTTTTTCCCCGTATAAATCAAGGATGGAATTGGATCTGCTGCCATCCAAGGGTTGAAGGCTTTTGACCTTGGACTATTCAGCTCAGGCTGAATTTTGTTGACATTCATTCAAACTGAAACATGTCTGTGTATTAAACAAGAAGACCTAGGGAATGCAATCTGTGAATGAAAAAAAAACACTTTGCCAGCGAACTTGAAAATTGGACAGTTACAGTGATGAAAATAATTATTTTTTTATTAATCCTTTTGGGTGGCAGTGGGTAAATTTCCATCCTTTCGCAGTGCTGGCATATTTAGCACATTGGTGCATTTCAGTTAGGCCATAGGTCTCCAAAATGCAACATAAATTAACAACAAGTAGCTGAATTCTAGAAAAAACTAGGAAAGTGGATGCATTTTTTTCTAAATCCCTCGATGCTAATTAAATCAAGAAAACAGCAATCATTTCACCCGAGAGAGAATCATTTTTCGCCAGGAACATTTTTCTGCACAAATATTTAAAAAGAAGTTTCAAGATTTTCTACACTTTGGCACTGCAGATCAGACAAGGTTTTCTAACTTTTTTTTTATTTGAGTGCTTTTCGGCACACATTTGTGCAAATATATCCCAGCTCCACTGCAGCAGGGTTAAAAATGTGTGTTTTAATCCCAAACAGGTTTGGAAAGCCGGTGTGACCATAACCGACAGCAGCTTCCAGTATTCCCTGTTCTACTTCACCTTTTCAATCCTCGGGAATTTCAACTACTTTTTCTTTGCCGCCCACTTGTTGGACGTGGCAGTTGGCTTCAAGACCCTGAGAACAATTTTGCAGTCTGTGACACACAACGGGAAACAGCTGGTGCTCACGCTCCTGCTGCTCACTATTGTGGTGTACATTTACACTGTCATCGCATTCAACTTTTTCCGCAAGTTTTATGTGCAGGAGGAGGATGAACAGGTCGATCAGAAGTGTCATGACATGTTGACCTGCTTCGTGTTCCATCTATACAAGGTTTGAGGTTTTATTTTTCTATAGTCTTATTTTTGATCAATGCCATTTTCATAAGGTGGAAATTCAGAATTCGTTTTCCGAACTTGCATTCGAAACCTTGGGGTTTATTTTGTTGAATCAATCGTCTGAATGCTATACGTTCGAATGTGGCCTGAAAATTTAAATCAAGTCGAATGAATAATATATGATTATTTCATCGAACATCTTCACCTCAAATTATTTAATGCAGGCAGAAATGACATCCAAGTATATATTGCAGAAACTTGAAAATTGCTGAAAAATATTAATCACGTGGCTTACTTTTTTAGCGAGGGATTTCCATGAAATAAGACAACGCTTTTTCGAATGATTTTCAGGCTTTTTTTGTTGAAAAATTGAACCAGTTTCAGTATTTTTGCTCTGTGATTATTTATATTTATCATACATGTCGCCATTTGGCACTATATTCATGCACTCGTTTTTGTAATTCCATAGTAATTATTGGAGATGAGGTAAAATGAAATTTCCAAATTTTGGGGGAGAGTTTTCAGCTGATTGTTGAAAAATGAATTTCTCTGCATAATTAAACTTTTTCAAATTCGGATCGAAGCAATTTTGGGGGATGAGTGACAAGTGAACCCTTGGGGATTGGAAAATGAGCTTATCCTTATTTTATCTCCTTATTTATTTATTCATTTATTTATTTGCTGTCAAACAGGGTGTGAGAGCTGGTGGAGGCATTGGTGACGAGATTGAGTCCCCTGATGGCGATGATTATGAAGTCTATCGTATCATATTTGACATCACCTTCTTCTTTTTTGTCATTGTCATCCTTTTGGCCATCATTCAGGGTCAGAAGAAGGAAAAAATTCTATATTTGCATGGCGTGAACTAAATTCACATCACCGTGTGTATACGAGCATGACCATTGAATGTTTCGAAATTTAAATTTTAAAAATGTTCTATGGCTTCCTGATCACGTGGAAAGTATGCAAAGTTTGACAAAAGCCGTATGAATGAGCATTCATTTAATACTTCATGAAAAGCTGTTTTTCCGCATAAAAATAGTCCTTCATATAGCTTCCTGCCTTCTTTTTTCCCTCTTGAAGTTCTATACTTGCACATTTTTACTATAGTTCGGCCAGGCGCGAAAACTATTGAAATTTAGAATTGCATGCTTTCTTCCCCATCCTGCTTTTCTTAAGTTTGTAAATTACTGGTGGAACGAAAATGTATTTACAAGAAACCGAGAATTCGATGTGGACTCACAGCAGAGATCAGATATGAAAATAACCTGAAAATTTTTCAATTCGCAATATAAAAAATAATAATTTCTCTCCCAAACTAGTACAATGTTTTAGTGAGTCGATCATTTTCTTATCATTTTGCCGGATGGAAATTTGAACTCGCCTATTTGACTGAATTGAAATTTTAATGCATATCACGTTCATTTTTTGGCATTTTGTTCGATAGTCGGTGAAAATTGTTCCCATTTATATAATCTGCAGCATGAGCATCAAAATCTCACACTTTTCCACTCATGTATATTTTTAAATTGTTATTTTTTTTCCACCATGAAATAGGTCTCATCATCGATGCCTTCGGAGAGCTCAGAGACCAGTTGCAAAGCGTGCAAGACGACATGGAAAGCAACTGCTTCATCTGCGGAATCGGCAAAGACTACTTTGACAAAATCCCGCACGGCTTCGACACCCACGTGCAAAAAGAGCACAACCTGGCCAACTACATGTTCTTCCTCATGTACCTCATTAGCAAACCGGACACTGAGTACACTGGTCAAGAAACCTACGTATGGAACATGTATACTCAACGTTGTTGGGACTTCTTTCCCGTGGGAGATTGTTTCAGGAAACAGTACGAGGACGAATTGTCGGGCTCGGGCTGAGAAAAATAACATCTTTTTCGATCCAGTGTCTGAATTATTGCTGCAGAACCGAACCTACTGTGACCCTCCGGTTTCGTCCGTTTTTTTTTTCTTTCTGGATTTATGCGATTTTATTTCTTTTTTTTTTGCGTGCGGGGAAGTTCTTATAGACCTGCTTTTCATGACTTCGGCGGCATTATTGTTTTGAGAGAAAAATGGAGGCGGTGGAACCGAGTGCTTCCTCCAAATTAAGCCCTTCTGCATCTTCATGTTCATTATTGAAAATATTGTTTAGTGGAACGGATAAGCGTGTATGATGGACTGCGTGTGTATGCCGAGGCAAAAATTAAAGAAAGGAAAACAAGAGCCGCGTTTTTCATTTTTTTTCGGGTCCGAAAATATTGCAAACTTGGAAGAGCCTGTGGTGATTGGGGATATAAAAGCAGTAACCTTTGAAGGGGGATTTTTTTATTGCCTTCGAAACCTGCCTTCAAATTCTAGTCTGTTTTCATCGTCATTAAAAAGTATATTCTCATCAGAGGCCTTTGTATGATGCCAGTTCTTGAATTTCAAATGGAAATTATCAGCATACTGTTGCATATTTACTCAAATACCACATGCCCTCGCATAAGGCTCAAACCAGAATTTCTCGGTCAACAATTTTGATAAAATTGTATCCCCACATGAGACATGAATCCAAATCTGAGTGACTTTAAATCTGAAATATTTAAAATAAAATAAAAAACAAATTTGAATTTTGGTATGAATTTTGAACCTAAGTTCAACCAATTCTCAATGATTTCCTATACAGCAAGTTTTCTGAAAAAAATTGGCACACAATTTAAAATTACTGTACAATCAACTGTAATGAACATTCAAGCTTCTAAAAGTTCTGGGAAAATGTATGCCTACCTGCGAGGTGTGCACTTCTTTTTTCCTCTGAATTTTAACCCTTGGGCAGCAGCAGGTTCTTTTGCATTGCGCGGCAGTGCCAGGAACTTTTTGCAGGCTTCTGCATTTTGGTTTGACCAAAGGTTACCAAAATGCAGCTATGGCTGAGTATATAGCCAAAGTTGGGAAAAATCCTGAGAAGAAAATTCAGTCATAATAATTGACAGTTTGTTTAGTGATGTTGTTAGAATCCAAAACTCTCAAATTGCTTCAGTTTACAGGTGATTATGAGCTGTAGCCATCTGCATAAAAACATCAAACATTGGTTGTTTACATTGCACATAGCACAACAGCATCCAGTTTATACCCTAAGAGCTCTTGTCCTGCTTGATTTTGGTATGGGAAAGAACCATCTGTGTATAATTTCTGTAAGTATCCGTTTTTTGAGGAGCCAATGTTCTGGCCATATTTCAACACCATGTAATGCAGATGCTCGGACTATGCAGTCAAAAAAACATTGATACCATTTTTGTGTCTTTCAATTCTAACTTACTTCAAACAAGTTATATCTCACTCATGCTGCCATATCTCTCTAATGTGTGCATCCCTTCACCCCCGGCATCCCAGGTTGTATTTGCTTTCCCGGTGAGATAAAATGATGGTTCCCATTTGTTCCTTGTACTTGTTTCCTTTGATTCCCAGTTAGCATTGGTGTAACCTCCAGCATGGAGGCAAAAAGGGTGCACTTTACAGCATACTTGTAGTCTGTAAATTGTAACCTGATACTTGGGGAGATTTCTGCTAGCCAATAAATCTTGCCTAATACAGTCAACCCCCATCTAATGGACTTGATTCGTGCAAGGGACGAGTCTGTTAGACAAAAAGTCCTTTACATGAATTCAATTACATAAAAAATTTAAAATTTCAATTTTCAACACTAATTTTAAACCAAAAGAAGTCTG